TATTTAATAGAGCCAGCCTATAAAGCTGTTCGATCGTTCAATAGGCAATAGGTTCTGCTGCGATAGTTGACATTTCGATCTGGGAAATGTAAATGTACTTAAAGGTCCCGAGTAAACCGTAAAGCGCATGACGAGGGCTGCACACAATAAACTATGTATTTTTCCAAACTAGCGTAGTAATGGCATGAGTTCTACGAAAATAGTCTTTCGTGTTAGCGAAGCTAAACATATGTGTATAAGAGATTTATTCAATTTGGTCAAAGATTCAAGCACATTTTTTATGGCCAGTGTTTAGAAACATAAGTCGCCACACACCGTTTCTCAGCTAATTATAGAGTATATCTATATTTATACGTTTCCTCAAGGTGCACATAAATGGTTGTGCTTTTGCGATACGGGATATCTATAGTTTTGTGCGGTATAGTCTATATTTACGACCCATATCAATCCTAGGTGAATTTAATTCTTGTTGTCCCTATATTTGTAGGTGTGCCTAGCCGTGTAGCCTGGCCCTGACGCATACATAACCCCCAGTTCTATACATAAACCGGTCCATTCAACCATGGTGCAGTAAAGGTTGCTTTCTCTTATGATCGCTGGCGTCGCCTTGCCTATTCGCTACTCATATAAACAGTCAGAGAAAACCGCGCTAACCATTTCAACCAGCAAAGAATGTATTCTGTTTATAGCAGATGTCCAGAATATTTGTGCGTTCGGGTGACGTAAAGATGAGAACGACCAATATTGTACCTCACAAACCTGTTAGTGTGAAATGGCACATACGAACATTAAGTTAATCATTACTGACTGTCCTACGTCTTTTTTTCATATTTGGATATATAAATTTCATAATGGATATAAAAATAAATGTATATATATATATCCATTCACAAACATGCCTTTAGCTGTGTATAATACACTACACAATATGATACGATGACTCTTTTTCGCTGTTTTATTACTCGGATCCGATGATGATAATTTCCGGCACGACAATTCCGTTGCTTATAACTTATTATATCATTTCCAAGTTAGCCGTTTATACGAACAACAGTTGGCGATCCATTCAGTCGAGTAAAATAAAATTCTCTGAGGACAAGAAACAACTGGTAAATAAGCCACATGAAAAATTCGAGCTGAGTTTCAAGATCCTGTTTTAATTACATCGAAACCGATCAGCGTGCCATATTAATTACTGTGACTTTTGTCTTCACGTTACTATCTAGGAAGCTTACGCTCGTATCTACTTATTTGAGTATACCACAGGCAGATCCCAAACGACCCGCTAAGTTCTAAAGATAAACTAGCAGCAAGTTCTATGCTTAAAAGCTAGAAACCGATAAAGTCTTTAATACAAAACTTAGCAGATCGGCAAGTATACGTAAGTACCCACGCAGGATGTATGAGAAGCTTCATTTTTGCTATCCTGACGCACTGACTATACCATGCATCGTAATCCATTGTAAAAGTGGCATGTTTTTGTGCTAAACCCGATTTAGTAAAAAGTTATCTGAAACCTTCTGAGGCGACTATTTATAGGTTAGTAAGCATGTTTTAACGAAACGGTATCTTTTAAACATCTACGGAAAGAAAAATGTTAATGACGGATCACGGCGTCTAAAAATATCCTCCACTGAACTAAATGCGGTACTCGATCCGTCTTCAATTTACAACTCAAACAACATTTGTTTAACTCTCACAGTCGTGACACATAGCAGGCCGGTTTAAGCTGCTAATCGAAAACAAATTAACCTATACAAAAAAAAAAGCCTATGAAAATCATACTTACGAAAAAGCTCTTAGCAACTCATGGCGGATCTTCCTCCAATGAACGTGGTGACCGTATGGTTATATCAACTATCCGAGGATCGTGCATATAGAAATAGCCAGATGGTGTAAAATACAAGCTTTGAGAATATGAACATATAGTAATACACCTGACGCTAGAGTTCATAGAGAAATTTCCAGCTAACAGAGTACGGCTACACAGTATTACAAATGGTGCAACTGTCTTGTTAAATATTGCGACCATTTTACATATACCCGCTGCTTGGTCAGGAGTTTTTCCATGGACGGCGGCGTGTTTTACAGAGGAAAAAGTGTGCACGACGTAGCACTGGTTAGAAGATCCTAGTTTGCTCGCTGTCCTTCCGCAAACCATATTACACAGCTGAAAATCAATAAAGCACTTAGCGATAGAGGCTACAATAGATCAAAACATAATGTTTTCTACACTATCTGACCACCTATAGATGATTTGGGTCACAAGGAAAACCCCGTTTTTTAAACGAACTAATAGCGGAAGAAGAGATTCGAATTAGAACAGGAACCTGTGAAGTATGAACTTTGAGGATGCGCAATAAGGGGCCCAACGCTAATATTTATGAAGCTAACTCAAATCCTATGAACTGTAGGGCAGAGATGTATGTTGGCCAAGTAAAGGCGATATACAGCTACGCCCAGTTCTGCTATCAAGAGCTCACTCAACGCGTCAGCCGAATGATTATTTGCATATATTCGCCTGACTATCTTAGAAACAGTTGGCCTTCCTTAGCACTGTAGTCCTTTACCGAAGCTAGCGGAAAATGTCCTTTTGCTTCAATTTATACCAATTTCATTAAGTAACAAAAGGACGAACGTTCCTCTTTGAAGCTGATGAGCTATAATGCTCTCTGGCGATACACCATATAGCGGAGCAATACACGGAGAAATACAAATCGGGACAGATGCAGAGGAAATAGGCCCACTTTTCTTTCTTCACTCTCTTTGACTTTCTCGATTCCTATTGAAAGTTACCTTCGAAAAAGTTCAGAACACGAGTCCGTTCCGGCACCCGCCCTTAACCGTTGCCACTTATAGGCTT